CACGATTTATGAGTATGTTACTATCTTCGACGTGAATTAACTAACATCAGTAGTGCTAGTTACTGAAGGGGTTTATAGAGATTGTTGACTTTCATGACAGTTTGTGATTGTTAATATCAATAAACAAAGAGAATAAATAAATAAATAAATACATTCATTTATTACTTAAGGCCAAGGGAGAGATAAGGGAGTTACAAATTTCTTCTGGACACAAAGACTTGGCTTGTTGGCTCGAATTCCTATAGCTTCTGCTATGTGTAAGAGACGAGATCGAACACCATAAGGAAAACTAGTGGGAATCCGATAAATAACTTTGAACGACTTGTTTCTGTCCACCATATGACCGCTATCGATCAAGTGTGATAGAACCGAGCTGCGTATTGTTTTGACATAGCCTTTTCCTAACCACGAAGGGAGGTGTTCACTAACTCGTCGGTTCAGTTGCCTGGTAGTGCGCCCGATATAGCTTTCTCCACAGGAGCAGCTGAATTCGTAGATACACATAGAAGTGGCATAACCAGGTAACTTATCCTTCAATTGCGGAATCACCATCGATCGGGTCGAATACGATAGGCAGAGGTTGGCAGCATTAAACGTTCTCTTTATTGATTTAGTCAATCTATCTCGTAATACATCGCTAGCCACATCACCATTGAATTGCAGTTTCAAGAAAAGTGGTTTCTTATTAGCCGTCAGGGTCACTATTTTCCTGTTTTTTACGCGCAAGTGTTTCTTCAGGAAACCCAGTGGATATCCTAATTCAATCAAAATATTATGAATGTGTTGTAATTCTCTATCGATAGTGTCGACTGAGCATATCTTAAGAGCTCTATTTGCAAGGCATTTGACTAAGTTTCTCTTATAATGAAGAGGCACAAAGCTTAAAAAATGTGTGTATTGGCTAGGCGAAGAACTTTTCCTATACACACCCCTGCTGATAGAACCATCTTCTTTTCTACTTAACAAAACGTCCAGAAAATTTAGTTTGTTATCTATTTCCTCCTCACATGTAAATTTAATAGCAGGGTGTTTGTTATTAAAATTTCCTATGAACCCTGAGCGGTACGTTCATAATTTCTCTAGTGTTACATTAGACGCATTGCAAGTAGAGGCATTGTCACTCGGCCCTAGGTTTTGCGACTATAGTAATAAAATAAACCAACTAGATACAGATGTACAGTTTGAAAATTTATTTACACAAACAACAGATTTGGTGCCTACTTCTCCTGAGGAATTAACCAGGTTTAAGACCACGTTGGTAGACATCTGCCAACAATACAAAAATAGTAAATGTACGGTGAAAACTCCACTTACCAAACAGCACCGGGATGCTTTACATGTACTTAGAAACGACAATACTCTAATCATAAGCAAGCCGGACAAAGGAGGGGGGCTAGTTCTTATGAACAAAGCTGATTACATTAATAAAATGAACGTGATTTTGAATGATCCGACAAAATTTCAGAAACTCAACGACTTTAAGGACTTAAATATGAAGGCAGAAAAATTGCTGACTATCTCACTGAAGGAATTAAGAAATAAAGGTATTCTTACTCCTGACTTACATGACTCACTCAAGCCTACTGGATCGAACACACCGCGACTATATGGTTTACCTAAAGTTCACAAGACAGGTCTTCCTCTTCGCCCAGTTTTAGATATGTATAATTCGCCTCATCATAAAACTGCAAAGTGGCTAGTTCGTATCCTAAACCCCTTACACAAATTAGTCGTCAATAGAAGCGTGAAAGACGTCTTCGATTTCATATCTAAAGTGGAACATATAAATTTAAATGGGAAACGAATGATATCTTTAGATGTTGCTTCCCTGTTCACCAATGTGCCGTTAACAGAGACTATCGATTTTGTGTGCCAACAACTGCAGGAAAAACAAATCAATATTGGAATTCCTGGGGTTAGTCTTAAAGAATTACTTTTAAAATGCACAATGAATGTCCATTTTGTCTTTAATAACACATATTATAGACAAATTGATGGTATAGCGATGGGTTCGCCACTAGGTCCCATCCTTGCGGATTTTTTTCTGGCGAAACTAGAAAACGGACCTCTCAAGGAGGTTATCAATAAACTGGATTTCTACTGTCGTTACGTTGATGACACCTTCATCATTGCCGATCAAAATCTTAGAAAAGAACAACTACTGGAACTATTTAATAACAAACACCCTGCTATTAAATTTACATGTGAGGAGGAAATAGATAACAAACTAAATTTTCTGGACGTTTTGTTAAGTAGAAAAGAAGATGGTTCTATCAGCAGGGGTGTGTATAGGAAAAGTTCTTCGCCTAGCCAATACACACATTTTTTAAGCTTTGTGCCTCTTCATTATAAGAGAAACTTAGTCAAATGCCTTGCAAATAGAGCTCTTAAGATATGCTCAGTCGACACTATCGATAGAGAATTACAACACATTCATAATATTTTGATTGAATTAGGATATCCACTGGGTTTCCTGAAGAAACACTTGCGCGTAAAAAACAGGAAAATAGTGACCCTGACGGCTAATAAGAAACCACTTTTCTTGAAACTGCAATTCAATGGTGATGTGGCTAGCGATGTATTACGAGATAGATTGACTAAATCAATAAAGAGAACGTTTAATGCTGCCAACCTCTGCCTATCGTATTCGACCCGATCGATGGTGATTCCGCAATTGAAGGATAAGTTACCTGGTTATGCCACTTCTATGTGTATCTACGAATTCAGCTGCTCCTGTGGAGAAAGCTATATCGGGCGCACTACCAGGCAACTGAACCGACGAGTTAGTGAACACCTCCCTTCGTGGTTAGGAAAAGGCTATGTCAAAACAATACGCAGCTCGGTTCTATCACACTTGATCGATAGCGGTCATATGGTGGACAGAAACAAGTCGTTCAAAGTTATTTATCGGATTCCCACTAGTTTTCCTTATGGTGTTCGATCTCGTCTCTTACACATAGCAGAAGCTATAGGAATTCGAGCCAACAAGCCAAGTCTTTGTGTCCAGAAGAAATTTGTAACTCCCTTATCTCTCCCTTGGCCTTAAGTAATAAATGAATGTATTTATTTATTTATTTATTCTCTTTGTTTATTATTGTTAATATTAGTTGTAAATTTTTAATATTATGGAATAACGTAGAAGTTAATAGGTACCTAAAGTAACAGTAATTAATCGGAAGTTCTAAGCTGCTCTCTAGCTTACGAAACGAAGTACTATTCGGTGTGATTAAAAGTCAGTTATACACATTGTAAAACCTGATCATAATAAGAAATTTTCTTATAGTTGTGATAAAAGTGTAATTCTAGCATAATCCTTACATAACCTAACTTTAACCATACATTAGATACTAAGGTTATTGGTACCGCCCAGGTATTTAGACCCAGTAGATGGAACGAGAGTTGAACTTGATGGATGAGAGAGCAATAGCTCAGTGGTTATGGCGTTCAACTAAGTCGCAGGCTCAAACCCGTTTAGTGAGGTAGTATTACAGGCTAGGAGACAGATACGTGCACCTGTTCATTGGTAAATCTCAACCAAAAAGACAGGGCTGAGTTATTTACCCAACTGATTTATCGCCCGTATGACTTAATACTGTTAGCTATAGACTTTTTGGAAAATTGACTATTATAAGGAGGATGAAAGTATGGCTTTGCTAATTTTTCCTCTACAATTATTCTACAAGGAATAATCTTTATCTATTCGAACCATTTTCTATGGAATTAACAATTTAGATCATATTTGGAAAAAACGCTTAAAAGTATATCGTTTCTTTTCTCATCAAGACAAATATTTCCCAATAAAGAGATTACCATAAAAAAAACAATGGATAATTCTGACGATACAATCACATCAAACATTAATGAACAAAGTGTCAAAGAACCATTATATAAAAATTATATTTTCGTATTTATGATTGTTGGTTTGGTAACAATAATTCCTTTGATTATTATCAACATAGCAGTAATGATGAAAAGACGATTATCAAGAATATGTCGCATATTATTACTTTGCATTTGTTTATCACTTGGATCTTGTGTCAGTGCATTAGCATTTACGCATTATGCATTAGGACCGATTGATATAACGTTAACTAAAGGTGACCAAATACTTATTGGTGAGCCAACAAATGGATTTCTAATGAATATACATGAATTACGCTCATTGACTTGTAATCATTTAGAAATCCAATCGAATAAATTAAAAATTCGTGTTTGGACAACACCTATATCACCTCACTATGGACCATTACAGAATTACAGTTTAGTTATACGTAACTGGAGTTTTCCAGCGTTTACCCACCTTCGGCTTAATAATGGTGATTCAATTTATGCACATAATTTTTCTCACCCAACACAAATAATCATTCTTAAAGGTGAAGAATCTATGCAACGATGGATCAAAACTGGTCCATACAAGAGAGGTTATGAAAAATGCTGTGCATGGTATATTCTACAGACAGATGTAGAGAATAGACAACAAATAACAGTTGAACAAAATGATATGTACACTTTAATAATGAGAACATCTGCATCGATAGTCAACTATTCATATCATTTAAACGAACCATCAACAGTAGGAAGCGGATATATTGATTTAGTGCGTACGCGTTGGGCACCTAACCCTTGTGATCCAGTCATTTGTGATGGTACAACAACAACTCTATGCAAAATAACGTCATCTCCGAAAAGTTACGTAATCGACTATACTGTAGAAACAATGACAGCGCCAAATCTTGACTATGCAAACGTTCACATCATTTGTTATCCACGTCATTGGATATTAGGAATTATGTTTAGTTTGCCAAATATTCTAATTGTAAGTCTGATTCTTATAATACATGCATGTATTAAAAAACAAAAGAAACAGTTTAAATTCTCTGATACAAGTATTCAACAAACACCTTTTACTGATTTAAATATTAAACAAATGAAAGGTAAATATACAACTTCTAACGAGAACCAAAATCATGCATTTGAATTTGATCTAGTGTAAAACTTACTGGCAACTGGTTTATCTTACAACACTTTGTTTTAGTTGCCGTTATAATCGATGACATTATTGATTCCTTTATATTTTTATTACCATAATGTAGCGCTTCTATTGCTGATAACTGCAAATCTTCAGCGTAATTATTTAATTTCTCATCTAAGAAATCACATAGTTTTGCTCCAAAACCTTCTAAAATTTTACATTCTTTTCCACTTTGTAACAATAGTGGGTATTTTTTAAGTGAAGAAAGAGCCTAGAAAAGAAAATAACAAAGTTCATAAATCAAATTAATATTGTCCTACCTTTCTGTAAGCATAGTATGATTTGGCATCTTTGACAAATGCATTTTCCATAGCTTCGGTTATCCAACTTTGAAATAAAAAATTTGGTCCACCATCAATCTTTTTCTTTTTCCGACTATGATATAAAGTATATTGGATGAGTTATGTATGCTAAATAAAGTTTGTGATTTTTAATCTTTGGGAAAACATAGAGTATTTATAAATTTTAAAGTAAAAAAATAACTGGATGAGATTGTGTAAGATTTGACATAAAGGTACACTGATCAGTAGATTGATATCAACCTGAAACAGATTGGTGATAAATTCTACGTAAATATAACGTAGAACCTGGTAAACATGTACATCAGTTCAAGTTGCCATACAGCGAGATAAAGTTGTCAGTAAAAATCATAAAGCACTAGCATAGGTAGTAACAGTATTAGTGGTAATCGAAAAGATTAGGCATTGAAGACAAGACTCAAGAAAATATGGATATGTCCAATAAAATAATTTTGTAAGGTAATTTGAAAGGTTAGGACCTAAGGGAAGGCAAAGGGTGAATGCGCCTACACCATTACGAATGATTCTAAGCTATTCCACCCAAAGTCTCTAATCATTGGTTACGATAATCACCTATAATCCATCCATTAGTCTGGACCTGCATACATGGATTAGTTCTTCAAAAGTGTCTATGAGAAGATTAAATAAGAATGGAGAAAGCGGAAAACCCCGTAGAACACCACTTCCCACTGAAGTCAAGAATATTCCAAGTATATAATACTTCGAAGAAGGGAAAATAGATATTGTTCCTTTGTTCACACCGTTTTCTCCTTCACTTTTCTAGGGTTCAAATTTATTTCCCGTTTTTTCTTTTCCCTGGAAGAACAGAAAATGAAAAAGCACTAACGAGTTTAGGATCAACTGCCTAACAACTTACTACTGATGTTTAACTTCAAAAGTCGACTAAAGAAAACCTGCATTTTGAGAAGCAGATACATAGAAAAAAGATTGTGTCGACACAAGGGATTCCTCACATCTCCTTTAAACACATATCCTTACTAACTACAACTAAATGATATGGCCTTTAATTAAAAATATTGCAAACGGATGTGCACACTGCATAACAATACATTATCTCTAATTTTCATAAAACGTAATGGTCAATGAGTAAATAGCCAAGCAAATAGAAAAAACGATAATCGAGATCAATAGGTGGGAAGAGGCAATACCCTGGTATGAATAAAGGGGAAACGCGCCAAATGTTCGGTTTGTCACCTATTAGGGAGAAACAGTAAGAATTTCCTACTAGACATTTCTCTGGGAATGTTTCGGAATTCGCACTAAATAGTTTACTTTCCGCTCAAATTTACGCTTAGCCATCTACTTCCTATGTTTGGTTTTCCTTTAATTCTATCTAGCTATCTAGTTTATAAACCTTTAGCAGGGTAACGTCAAAACTATCTAGAGGCATTAATTCGTCAAGTAGAGTTTTTCGTAACCCAACGTCGTGCTTAAAACAAGTTCCAGAAGGAAAAAGATCCTTTAGATGAAAATGTCATAATCTTGTGAACAGAGTCGCAAACGTGCATACGGTTTTACAAAACTTAACTTCTATTATGTCCGATTCGACTACTAATGTTCTTCGGTTTATGTCATGCCTTGACATATTATTAAGTATCAAGGCTACTGTTTAACTTTATATAGATTAGTTTCATTCAAAGTATTACAAAGAGTATCGTCCTTTTATCAAAAGAGACTTTTTACCTTCGGAATCCTATTGGGTGCCACAGTTTTTCTGTTTATTTCACTTTTTGAACTTAACAGTTCATGGCTCCTTTTCTTTTAATTTTTCGCCCAAATAATTTGGTTATTCGTTTTAACCTTTTTTCTTCAAAGTTAGGTGATGACTGGATAGTGTAAAAGAAGTAATTGTTAACACTCAAATTATGAATACTTAGTGGATAGTGATATGCAGTGTGATGGGTGCAAAGGATGGTACCACGAAGTTTGCACTAATTTAACACTTTCAGCTCTTAAAAAATATAGTAGGCCCGCATGCATATGGTTGTTCCAGCAGGGATGCTTGGATACAACGAGATGGCTGTTAGAAGCATACGAGACCAAGTCGGTCACATTCAAATCCCTCTTACACCTTCAAATAAATATCTTATCTCTACGACTAACCATTCTCACATCCCTTTATCCCGTCGCATCGCTAGGGCAAACGATTCGAGTGCGTGGAACGCTATTCCTGGTCTCCTGAAACCACACTCTAAACTACACGTAGGAGCTCTCAACGTTCGAACACTGTGCCAGATAGGACAACAGACTTACTTAGCTAGGACTTTAGAATCTCACGCCATCGATATGTGTTGCATCTCCGAAACGCGCATACAGGATCCCAGTAGCGTCATTCATTTGACCTCACCATGTCAAAGTAACGAACCAACTCGATTTACGCTTCGTGTATCTGGAAGCCCCGATGCTGCTTTCCGTGGCCTCGCCGACATAGGTACAGCACTGAGTCCTAGGGTAGCTCTCTTAGACTGGATCCCAGTAGACAGTCGTTTGTGCGCTATCCGACTAAACGGAACAGTAAGGACTCAGAAAGATAGGGACACTCGTCGTTGCCTCTTCGTCGTCTCTGCCTATTCTTCCACTGACTGCAGCTCAGATGATGTAAAAGATGAGTCTTACAGAAAGCTTTCCGACCTCCGAAAAGCCAGGTGCTCTGATGTAGTAATAGTGGCTGGTGACTTTAATGCTCAAGTAGGTAAACTAAGCGAAAAGGAGAGACACCTGGGTGGATCTTACAGTGTCATGGCTTAACGAACAGATAATAGCGACCGTCTGTTGCAGCTATGCTCAGATAACCGACTCTTTCTCGTCAATACTAACTTTAAGTAAAAGGAAAAACATCTTTTGACATAGAGATCCCCAAATTCGTCCCAACGTTGGACCCAAATAGATCACATCGCTATCAGCCACCGATGGAGGGGCTCGATAGAAGACTGTCGCTCATTCTGGAGCACATGCTTAGATTCAGATCATGCTCTAGTACGAGCGCGTATCTGCCTGCGTCTTACTGGACGTAGGAAAGACGCTGCAAGTAAACCTCTTAGGGCCCTACTTAATGATAGTCAAGCTAAGAGTGTATTTCAGAAACAACTAGGAAAACAGTTAGGCAGCCATGTATGTGATGCCCACCCCGATGCAGCATGGAATGATATCCGAAAAGCTGTGGAAACAGCAGTGATATCTGCTAGTAAGGTAAACCAGAAGGTTAGGGAGCAACACTGGATCTCAGCAGCATTTATCGCACTGATAGATGCTCGGGAATCCATTCCACCTGGCTCTGAACATAATGAAGAGCGGAGTCAGCTTAAGCACAAGCTGAAAAGAAGCCTACGCAATGATCGCGAACAGTGGTGGGTAGCGAAAGCAAGAGAGATGGAAAAGGCAGCGGCAATAGGTAATAGCAGACAATTGTTCAGACTCGTTAAGGAAACCGGAATTAAGAACCCGACTGTTAGCGAAACAATCTCAGAGAAAGATGGACATATTATACATTCTCAATTCAGGAGACTGGATTGATAGGCAGAACGCTTTAGGGATCGGTTCAACTGGCTTTCAGCCACACTTCGGTTTCCCACAATCTCCAGTCAACCTGAATATCAAGTTAATGTAGGTCATCCGTCTCTTTGCGAAGTTGAAAAAGCCATAGGAAATCTGAAGCGAGGGAGAGCAACAGACCTTGACAGGTTTACTCCCGAGACTTTTAAGGATGGTGGTCCAGTATTAGCAGTGAGATTAACTGAAGTCTTAGGAAGAATTCGGAAACTGGACACAATCCCATCTGACTGGTCTCAATCACTGATTGTGCCAATCTATAAGAAAGGACAAAACTTCTCTTGTGACAATCACACAGGAATCAGTTTGTGTTATAAATCTCTATTTTCTTACGGTTATGACTCAGCTGTTCTTATTGCTTAGTATTCTCGGACACCGATTCACTCGACAAATCCCCAAATCAAAACATGGTTGAACAGGAAGGAGATTATATTCCAAATAACAAGGTTAGATGGAAGTAAGAAGCACAATAGGGAAAACGTCAGTATATTTATAGTTTTTACATAAGAAGATTCCAGAGTATTCTCCAACTATCGACTAGTGCTGATTGGCTAATTCTTAGCCAATCAGCGTGCAGCAAAGCAATCATGCATTGAGCATGCTTTAATCTAGTCTATGTCCCGCTAACAGTTTGACTAATATTGTGTCTGAAATATTAGTTTCAAAAATACTTCGACGCATAACTAAAGCTCGCGAAGAGCAGACTAGAGAAAATCAGGCTGGTTTTCAACCTGGACGTGGTTGTATAGACCAGATATTCACACTACGTAAGGTTTTAGAACATAGAAACACGTTCAGATGCCCCACAATCGTAGTATTTCTCGACCTTAAGGTGGCATTCTACTCCGTTGATCGTAAGGTTCTATGGCAGTGTTTGTCACTGAAAGAAGGATCAAAGAAGTACATTAACCTTATACAGGCTCTCTACTCGAACACAACTGGTCGAATTGTCATCAGACTTGATTACTTCAAGTGGTGTTCGTCAGAGCTGCTCACTTTCTCCATTCTTGTTTAACTTTGTCATTGACGTACTTTTAGAGATAACACTTTACTCATCCAAATTTCCAGGGGTTGAACTTCTACCAGGAGATTCACTTGTTGACTTGAAATATGCTGATGACATAGTTCTATTTGGTGAAGACGCTGACAAGATGCAGTCCTATGACCACTCTAAGCAACAATGCAAGCATATTCGGGATGCGATTCTCTCCCTCGAAATGCAAAATGTTGCTTCAGGATTGGGTTGCATCGACACCCGAACTAATGATAGGAAGTGAAGTAGTTGATCCCAGGATCCCGAGAAGAAATGGCGTGTGAACCTATTGGTCACAGACTTAAAAGACAATCAAATCAAGCTATTGAAGGTGATAATTAAATCTCTGAATAAAAGGTATCCAATACTGTGAAAACGAAATAAACTTAAAGGAAGTACCGGTCACACAATGACCGTGTGAAATGGCGGGAATCTAAAAATTTACGACTATGAATAGATGCGTGGGAAAAGGAATTTAGAATTGAAGATTTTCGGGTGGTGGGGATCCGGAAGAGAATAACTCCGGTTGGAAGAGCTTTATAGAACGACAACTAAGTTGATTTCTGGAATCGCGAAGCTGTAGTTTGATGCGGGACTAGAAAAACTAAGCCTATTCCCCTAGTCATACGAAAGGACTAGAATAGACTTCATGAGTCTATAAATTACTTAATAAGATTTTTGTGAACAACACCCTCACTTTAGTTGTCTTTAAGGATAAAGACTTCACGAGGAAACTACAAAACAGTTACCAGCCCAGACGACTATCGGCTTTTCCTACGAATCAACAAATGGGACCCCATACCTCAACGAGTGGTTTAATGTCCAGTTATTTGTGTGAAAAATCCAGGAAACCAGACAGTTTGGTGTATTTCCCATATATTCAAACCGAATTATCACCGTCCGGTTTACTTTGAAAGTTCAGTGAGACCATAATTTGGAGACGTTATTGAGGACATACTGAAGTGACCTTTAAAAACAAATTTACATAATAGGTATTAACCCAGCTACGTTTTAATAGAATAACAAATTTATATGGGGATTCCGAATAGAGTTTAGGTTGGAAGTGTGTAGTAAGAGTCGAATTTTATGTCATTAACTAACATCAGCTTTAACGCTATAACACCTTAAGCTATGTATACAGCTTGGACGGATGAACTCAGAAAAGCCAAGGCATATCTTGAATCTAATTAGTTCGTCTGTTAAACCATAAACCCGTCGATGCGTACTGAGTAAAACTTAAAACATGGGTAAAACTTACTTTGTCAATGTGTTCATCTTATTGAAGTTTTAATGAATGAAGCAGAAACTTTATTTCAGGTGGAATTTTCGCAAATGCAAAAGGCCGAGACCAGACCTTGAACTACTCTGTGAAGCATTCAAACACTCTTCATGATTCAATGTAAACGAACAAAAAGAAGAACTTTTAGCTGAATTTGAGCAACGCTGTTTCTTTGTATTCACAAATACTGTTTAATACACTAATTTTCTGGTGACATTTAACAAGTTTGTTTTTCCATTCTAGTTGATTAGTGTGAAGATGCCACAGGTATTCAGAGTTTGACAACGCTTTAACCAATAACACATTCTAATATGAGTCGTACCCACCAAGGGAAATCAATAGACAGAAACGAGGAGGTTCGAAGAAATATTTGATAGGCTATCAATATATCGAGGATCGTCTGATTTAATCTGGCTTGCGATTGCAGGGGTTGTTGAGCACGGCGTTCCCACTCGTGATCTGGTGCGGATGCATGACCGAGTACCTTCAGCTAGGTGAGTCCATTAAAACATGTGGTCAGCATCCAATGTCGAAAACTTACAAAGCCATTTATTTGTGGGATTTATTTACCGCTGCAAGTGTTTCATGAGTGTTTCTGATGAGTTCACGTTTCTTCCCAAGTGACCATTAGTATGAATTCCTCGGACGATTAGTTTGTTCCTGAATGTGAAGTAGGAAAAACAATATTTTGACATGGTTTATTCAGTATGATGTATGCGTAATTTGTTTTAAATTTGCAAATAGATCGATATACGGCTTTTAATAACGGAAGCGAGGAAAACGTTGGACGTAACACACTGTGGGAAAAGTAGTTTCCGACGCACAGGATGTGACACCTCTTTGAGACTGTCATACAGTGCGACGAGTGAAAAGAGATGGTATTATAAAGTTTGCACGAATCTAACGCCCGTGGCTTTCCAAAAAAATCAGTAAAATGGCTGCGTGTGGTTTTGGCAGCCGTACTGCTCAAACGCACACAGCTTTTTAACCTAAGTCATTTCGAAGATGAATGCTGCCAAAAGCGTAGTAGCAGACGAAGACCAGACACGTCGGACAGTACCCACTCTATCGATAGATAGATTGATGTAATGTCACCTCAAGTAAGGTCAGAAACAATTAACTTACATGGATCAAAGGAGGAAAAACCAACTTCAAAGCGGTCTCTCCCAAATAAAAACACAAGAAATGAAGTTTACACTGTCACATGTTGTCTAAATGGTAGTCGGCAGGAAACACACAAGAAAACCAATTACAAGACTAGGGCTGTTTCTGTCAGGAAAAAACTGACTCCATAACTCGTCCGTTATCTTCCAGAATCCCACGGTGAGTTCCATGCGACTGTGGTTGCCATTCCAACGAAGGTCTGTGAAAGTGTACAGATCAAGAACAAGGAACGACACAACGTATTAAAGGAAACTCAACCTCCCTTTAAAGTGGCAGTGAAATTAAAAGCTGTTGCAAGTCAGTTATCTTTCGTAGAATCAATAAGAGTGAACGCTCAGAACCCAAGGCTGGTTTCGAGCAGGAGGTTGGGTCGATCAAACCGCTACTGAATGATTCAAAAAATTACTAAAACTAAGGTTACATGTGCCTTGTTCTTTTCAAGCTGAAAGTGTTATTAAGGGAGCTTGGCATGAACATGAAGAATAATGAGTTGTGATATGTAACAAGGTAGAATCGGTTCAACTGATGGAAGGGGAGTCAAAGTTGAAATAAGGAAAGCCAGTTTTTAGTATGAAAATTGCATCAACGGAGAATAAAGTGTTAGGAAGCACTGCCTGTTTTTTTAATTCATAAAAGTCTGAGTAAGTATGGTAAATGTCATCTTAGTAGAGAAGAGAATTCAACAAAACATTGGGAACTTGAGTCCGAATAATGGGCGCAGGAAAACAACCTCAGTATCACCGATTGCTCGCATTGTACTCGATCATGAAGAACCTAAAAACACCACAATGTCTTTCCAAAAAGTAATGGGTGGATTGAATTCTTTGTCGTCATTATGCTTGCTGGTCAGTAACTCCACTCTCCCTCCTTTTGACTTAATAAGGTTTATTCGTAGGTAACTTATCATATCTCATGCAGTGCTCAGTTTCGTATGCTGTTGGTACACGCTATTTCTTTAATTGCAATCTTATAAGCCTATCAGGCGGTTAAGAAACAATGTATTTGTGTAAGGCATCGATACAAAGCTTTAAGTGATAATAGTATGAATTATGGTTATCTAATCGGAATATAGGCATCGAGAAGGGTATAGCACAGGATAAATGTCTACACGACTTATCATTACCTAACAGGCAGATGGAAGAATATTTTCAGCAGTCGGATAATCTATTTCCTTTGAATTGTCTGTATTGTACTTCACTTTCCTGATCTTTGGCCTGACAAGGCCAAATTAACAACCAAATTCAGACCAAAGTTCGTTACTGAGAGGATTCAAACCAGTTTGAACAAAAAGAGAAAACTGTTAAATCTATCGAAGCGTCCAAGTCACTCAATTGGGGTACGCATGAAATCAAGGTTCACAAAGCAAAGATTTACCGAATATAGCTGGTCATTATTGAATAATATACAAAAATTAGCTACAAACTTCAGTTTGTGTGGTGTCTGTGACGTTTACAGTGTTTTTTGTCTAAAGTAAAAAGGCTCAGATAGTGCAAAATGACAGTCGTTGTCTGTATCTAAACTTAATACTGGTTTATCAACGAGCAGAAAAGGAACTAGCAGCAAGCAATATGGAAACTGTTGCGTTTAAACAAGGATTTAACGATTGCACAAAATTGCGAATAACTGCTACAATGATTGAGACGAAGTAATTTTGATAATAAATAAAATAAATGTTATAAATATGTGTGGGAATATTTCAGAATAATACATGACAACCTTGCGTTACAACATACTCGTAGAAACTACTACGGATACAACCATTAACGGAATACCAATACGTAGTGCAAGACAATATACAACAGGGTCGAATGAAAGTGAATAAGGACATAGAGCGTAAAACAGATTTAACAACCTGTATTTCGGCACGTTTAATCCACAGATAAGCTTGCAGCTGAACAAGTTAGAATCTAGACAACTAAGTAGTATCTATGATTCAGGAAAGAAATGTTACACAAGCCATTTATTCGCCGACCAGGCTACATTCCAAGTCTCTAAAGCCCATTGATTCGTTGGGTTTATCAATCGTAATTTCTAACTAAACGAGTCCAAAATGACTTTATATAAGGTAAAACTGATAAAGTTCGACGCCATTCCGTAAGACTTCTCACGTCAGACCAATCGCATAATGATGGATGTGAAGCATGGACGCTGGATACCTTATCAGTAAGTGAAATTAAACTTTTCCTTTCTTCTCAAAATTCTATACCACGGAACTAAAGTAAACTATGGTGCGTTGAAAGTTTCTAAAAATATTGATTATAACCTTCGGAATCAGGATTTTGAACTAAAGATCTCAAGAACATCAAGCGGATCAAAATAAACTTTCTCTGTCGTACGCTACGCCAGTCTCTGTAATAGGTTATCAGTAAACACCCGGTCGAATCAAACGCTTGCTGAATTTGAATCTCTAAACTGATTTATGGATCATTCCAGAGTTCCTTACCTGCTTGATGGAGCTCATCAAAGCCAATCTGCATTTAACGATGGACCACTTAACATTTAAGCTTGTTAATAAATAACTGATTAACACCTAGTGGCCACTTCTCAAACACCAAATACTTAACCCACCAGTGGCCTCTGTAATTTCATACTGTATATGTTGCAGTCCCAACACCATGCTTTAATAATTTCCCTTTGGTTTATACTTTGCACTTCTTTTTTCATAACTATCAAAAAACATTTCCTCTAATGTTTCTTTTTATCTCCATGGTACGCTGTTTACTATGGATGGTGCTGCACACATTTGGCCTAAGAAATACTTTGGACCACGACTCAATAAAACTCAATGCAATACTGACAGGATCTCAATCATGAACCTTCAAAACATATGTAATCACACAATTTGAATAATTATGTCTGAATGTTTACATGCCATTGTCTAAATTGGATTTGGATGCGATAACTAACATATCTTATGGAATTTCCAGTTCAGTTTGTAGAGAGATAACTCACTAACCTTGTAAGTGTAGCTCAATTATGGCCGATCATAATAAGCTCAGAATATCTTAAATTATTGGTTTAACATATTAACTTTTTATTATTTCTAGCATTCAAAGTGTTTTCTTACTTACTCATCGTCTTGCTAGTAAATTTTGCAAACCTAAACCCTGCTATCTTTTATTTTGCTTAACTATCTGTCCTTATCATCTATCAACCACGTATTATATGATCAATATATTATAACTCATACCATTAGTTAACTTGATAGTAGTGTGATTTACTAACTGAATGTCTAACTCACAATACAAATACTTTAGCTGTCTCATTTGCTTGTAACGTGAAACTAGTGAAGACAGAGTATTCCAACAAGGCGATTAACATAGGGCTTGGATTAGGGTAATATTCTGGCATAGCACAAATGAGAGCCCAACGTCGCAAAAGAAGGAAGATGTTACTGACCAGCAAATATAATGCGGAGACAACTTCAATCAACTAATGCCTGGAGAGCAGAACATTTTGTTAAATTATGGCTCCTTATGGTCTATCGGGATGCCACGAGCCAATGGTATTGATGCTAATTTCTTATGCTTGACTTATTTCTGTAAGCTTGAATTAGTTTCGCTCCCTACCGAGAAATCCTATTGCAAGAAAAACTGGACAATTACGCCTAATAGGAGTTCTTCGTAGCTCTACAAAAGTTATAACAATAAAAACGAGTTATACAAATTTTGACGAAAAAGAAGACAGTTGATATCCGGACACTTTTTTCTTTGTTAAATTTCAAAAATGCACAGAACTAAACTTTCAGCTCTTTTAAATCACTCCCATTTGTACAATCCTTCGTCCATTCAAAGCCGTACTTTGGCTTGTTTTTTTTCAACTTGGTGAAATGTATTTACTTAGAAATGGATCTAATAAAAGAGAATGAGTTGTGGACCACCAACGTAGATGATCTATGTCGAAATGATTGGAAGCCTAATTGAATTAGACG